CTCTTGGAGCTGACCGGAGGACAGGGCCACTCCCTGGGCAGTAGCGCAGGACCGCTAAGCCAACCTAGCGAGGACAGGTGGTGGGGACTGAGCAGCGACTCTTCTCTGTGACACTAGTGCAGCTGCTCGGCTGCAGTTTCTCTCCGCGGTGTCACCTTGGTAGGCATCTCAGGTTCTCAGGGACAAGCCTGTGAGCTACATACCTGGGAATAAAATTGAAGAAAGTCTTTCCGTGTGAGTCACTCTCTTGATATTTAGCTCTGCAATCTCATTTGTCCTCTTGGTGTCTCATCCTGAGCGCTTTGTCCATTTTCTTTGAATGTTAGGAATTTATATTTATTGCCAAACAAATGTTTAAGGCAGATAAACAAACTGAGTGTTGAGTTGATAAGAATCATTTTGTAAAGGGCTGGGATTGTGGCTCAGCACTAGAGCACTCGCCTAGCATGGACAGGACCCAGGTTCGGTCCTCAGCACCACATAAAAATAAAAGGCATTGTGTTGTGTCCATCTACACCTAAAAATAAACATTAAAAAAGAATCATTTTGTTAAATATTCTAAAAAGGTTTTAGAGGCCTTTTAAAAAAAGACAAATATTTCTCTGGCTTTTAGTTTGGGGTGAACTCTTTATTAAACCTTATTTGCCATTGTTAACTTCTTTATTCTTTGGAGAAGGGAGTCTTCCCTTAATTCTAATCAGAAAGTAATTTTTGCACATACTCTGAACAATTTTGTTATGCCTTATCTTTGGAGAAGAAAGATCCCCATTTGATCTCATCTTCCAAGTGATAATTATACAAAATGTAATTATACAAAATATAATTCTCTCCCTGTGGAACACCTGGCTGAGGAGAGAAGGACCTGGTCTTCTGAGCTGATGAAATAATGAGAGCGTGCACATGTGCACACTCAGGCACACACATGCACAGACACACACATGCACATGCATGCACACATACATAAGGCCTTTGACTGCAGAGTCAGAGGACAGCATACAGTCCATTTCTCAAACTTAAGCAACGTGTCCTTGTTGAAGAAAGACATTCTTATCAATCTCCAGGATAGGAGTGAGAAGGCTTTTGGTCACCTCCACCCACCATCTCCTTTCCATGTCCATCCATAACATAAGTAACCAAACCAGTTCAAAACTGGTCATAAGTAACCAGTACAAAACTGACTCATATCATTTAAGTCCCACAGAATTGGCTTAATTGTTCATTCAGTTGATCAAATAATCTTGCCAAGATTCTGTCTGTTTCTATCTGCCTACCTCTATCTATCCATCCATCTGTCTGTCCACCACCCATCCTTCCACCCATTCTTCATCTATCTGTCCTTCCATCTGCCCTTCCCTCCACCCACCATCTGTCCTGTCTATCTATCCATCCATCCATCTGTCCTTCCCTCCACCCACCATCTGT